CATGTACTCATTTAGTATATACATTGGCCCCAAAGTACCTAAATAAGAACTACATTAAGGCCAATGTATATGCTGTTTGGGTACATGGACCCTTAGGGTTAGCAGGCCTCCCGCCTCCTGGCTGGGAGTCAGCACCATAACACCGGTGTTCATGCGCTGGTGACGCAGAAGCTGGTGGTCCAGGCCTGTTCTGCAAGCATCCACATCTAAACCTAAACACTAAACTACTATGTAAACTCAAAAAACCCCATCGGGTCAAACAAAGTCAACGCCAAAAGTAAACGACTTGGCTCCCACGCCAAATCCCGAGGCAGCAAAGTGGACGCTTTGTGGCCTCGCCATGGAGAGGACGCTTCCAAACAAGAATGTTGGTACATGTTCGGGCTTCTACATGGAGCACTGTCCCTATGGCACCATGTACCTATATAGCATAGCGACTACTTCAAGCCTAGAAAGGTACATGGAGCCTTTGCGTGTAAAAAATTAAACGGGATGGAAGAACTCGAGGAGGATGGTCGCGAGCTTCCACAAGGATTTGAAGATAAGAACTTTGGGCTTTAGGATTGGGGTTCCCGGTTTAGGGACTATAAGTTTAGGGTTTAGGGGTTTAGGGTTGAGGGTCTATGGGTTTGGGTCTTAGGGCCTTAGGGTCTATATAGATTTAGGGTTTAGGGTCTATGGGCTTACGGTTTCATGGCGAGGCTTGTGTTTGTTTGTAGGGCAGCTCGAAACACCATGCGGAATGCGGCTTCTGGTCAGAGCCACCAGGACTGCTGCTTCCTGACATGAAGTAGCATGGCTGAGGGTTTAGGGTGTAGGGCTTATAGGGGACATGAAGTAGGATTTCAGGGGCTCACGATCAGAACTGACTTGGAGCCCCATTACACTTGAGTATGGGCATGCACAACAGATGGGATCTTTCCGAAAATTAGGGTACCTTATTTTGGGGTCGTTATATGATAAGGATCCTATTACTTAGGGTACTATCTTAGGGTCCCCTATTTTCGGAAACCCCCCATATAGCAATGCAAGCAACAGACCGTCAAACTAAATCCCGGGAACACTGTGCGGTTTAGGTCGAGGCAACAGCATCGCACGGCTCATGGACAAAGGCCTGCATTGTGCACTGTCCATAGCAACAAATAGATGCCCCAATCCTGTCCTCGTAGTATGAAGTACTTGAGGCATTGCAAGTTCTATGCTGATCATAACCCCGTTAACGATATCAGCGCCGAGTAGCAGTTGAAAGAGGTGCCAAAGCGATCCGATGACAAGGGTGTCGGTGTCCAGGTAGACAATCCTTCAATTCAAAACCCTAAACTGCTTAGGTTGCGTCCAAAGACGTATAGAACTATAGGAAACCCTAAACCCTAAACCCTAAACCCTAAACTGCTTAGGTTGCGTCCAAAGACGTCTAGAACTATAGGGTCCAAGGCCCGAGAGTTCAAATCCTAATCTTAGACTCACGCAAAGGCTTATGACAGCTTCAGGCACCACAGACCTTGAAGCCTAAACTCCGAAAACTCCTGCAGCTTCGCGGTGTATCGCAACAACTGCAGAAGGGTTTAGGGTTTAGGGTTTAGGGGTTTAGGGTTTAGGGTTGTAGGGGCCTTAATAATTGGAATAGGGTTTTGGGGGGTTCCTCATTGTAAATGTAGTGTAATATACCCTCCAAACCCCAATCTAACTTTTAAGGCCCCTATATTATGGCGGGTGTGTCTTTGGCTGGTTCGTAGACTCAGACGACAAGCAGCATCCGTAACTTGACACGTGGTACCATCAGCATTATAAACCCTAAACCGTAAACTCTAATGTAGGGGCCTTAATAATTAGAATAGGGTCTTGGAGTATATTATACTATATTTATAATAAGGAACCCCCCTCAACAAAAAACAACAAAAATAGTATAGGAAATTAGTAAGGCCCCTATATTGTATATTAACACGAAACCTTCAAGCTGACGAGTTCTGAGTCCTGCACATGGCCTCAACGGAAAAACAGACGGAAACTAGGAATGCAGGCATACCCAACCCAAAATCTAAAAGCCACAAAGCCTTAGGCTTCGTCTCGAAGCTCTGGCATGCGTGACTCAACAATCAACATGATATAAGCAAAACAGCTTAGGGTTTAGGGTAAGGGTCCCTAAACCCCTAAACCCTATACCCCTATGAATTGTTTCGCGCCTCCCGAACCCTGAAGCCTGAAGCCGCAAGCAACCCTTGGCCTGCGATACGAGGTCAGTCTCCAGAGGTGAAGCCTTCCAACCATGTGCAGTTTGGTTTTAGGGTTTAGGGCTTTGGGATTTGGGCCTGGGTTTGGGGTTTCGTGCATCATGCACGTTAGGATTCTTTACCTGGGGTTGTGAAAATTCTTCAGGCTTCGTGCCCTATGCCTTTTGCTTCTGGTGTTGAAAATCGGACTCCATTGTGTTTATAGAGTTTAGGGTTTAGGGCTGCTAGGGTTTATAGAGCTTATAAGGGCTTATAAGGGTATTAGTCATGGAATTACGACCATGAAAGCAGCACAGTACCAGGACTTACTAACATGCCATGCACTTCTGCATGCTGAAGTTCTCTGTGAACTACCCTGAACCCATAAAGCCCTTATAAGCCCCAAACCCTTATGCCCTCATAGATCCCTTTAAGGAACTCTAAACCCTGCACAGGTAGACACCTAGGACTTTTGCTTGCAGCAGGGAAACTGCCGGTTCGATTGCGAATACCCTGAACCCTAAACCCTAAACCCTAAACCCTAAACCCTGAACTTAGGCCCTGAACCCTGCAGCCTTCCCGTGGATCGTCTTGCAGCGCTTCGTTTAGGGTTTAGGGATTCTCTCGAGGTTTAGGGTTTATAGGCATTTATAAGGTTTAGGGCCAGTTTAGGAATTTTCCCGATCCTTTGCCTTTGTTGATGCAGCTCCCAAACCACGTCTGATGCTTTTGCTCGGCTGCTGAGGCCTCCATCTGCGCATTTTGGGCTCTGCTGTTCCTGTGCAGCATCCGCAGTGCCTTGATACTGAGCTTGCCCTCACGAACTGGTCGCGGCGGATGGAAGCGTGTGGAGACTTGGCTTGCGCTTCGGTCCACTGCTGCCGCATCTTGATGGCGACTGCTTTGCGGGGCCGACTCTTGCTGCTGGGCATCCGGGATAGTCTTGTTGCGGCTATCGCGGTTGTCAGCGCCCGCAGGACCTCCGTCGCTGGCTTTAACTTGGATCTGATTGCCACCCCGCAAACCCCTAAACTCCTAAACCCCAACCCCAACTCCCAAACCCCTAATTACCCCAAGCCGAAACCCTTTACCCTAAACCCTAAAATAGATTTCCAATCCCAAAATCAAGCCCTACAACCACGAGTTCGAAACTCCGTAGCCAAAGACTAAAGATATTATGTAGCCCTAGACCCTAGATGCTAATAGATGCTGATTGCTGAACCTTAGGCCCTATATCCCTAAACATTTAGAACTTCAAAACCTAAACACCATAGCCTTAAGGCCTATATAAGTTCCGATAGTCTAAGCCCCATAACTCACAACCCTAAACCCTGAAATCTTTAGCCCTGACAGTCTAACCCTGATCCTTAAAAGAAAACTAAACCCTAAACCAAAACCCTAAACCATAAACCCTAAACCTGAACCTTAAACCTTAAACCCTAAAACCCTAAGCCAAACCCTAAACCCTGAACGCAAAAGCCTAACCCTAAACCCTAAACCTTGAACACAAACATTAAACCAGAATAGGCCCTAAATCCCAAACCCTAAGCCTCAAACCCTGAACCCAAAAACCTTAAACCTTAATCCAACCCGAAACCCTAAACCCTGATAGTCTGACCCTCCTCGCACTAGCCTTCTCCAGGCAGCGGCGAGGTGGCGATCGCCCGGCAGAGATGCAGCCTCAGAGGCTTCTCGAAGGTTGCGAAGCTGTTAGGGTTTAGGGGTTTAGGGTTTGTAGGGTTTTGGGTGTGCGGGTTTAGGGTTTAGGGGTTTAGGGGTTTAGGGGTTTAGGGTCTATAGGGTTTAGAGTTTATAGGTTTGGAGGTTTCGGGGGTTTACAGGGTTTAGGGTTTATAGGGTTTAGGGTTTATAAGGTTTAGGGGCTTAGGGTTTATAGGGTTTGGGGTTTGGGATTTAGGGGTTTAGGGTTTTATAGGGTTTGGGTGTTTGGGGATTTAGGGTTTATTCACAGGGTTTAGGGGCTTTAGAGCCAGACGATTGGGTTCCTTTCGAAGGGATAGGCCAGGGCCCCTTTAAAGGATCTAGACGGGTCCCTTTTGAAGGGATTGAAGGGATAAATAACGGCTCGTGTGATGAAGGGATTCATAAGGGCTCCTTAGCTTTAACGGAACCAAGTAGGGTTAAACCCTAAACCCTAGCCCTACACCCTAAACCCTAAACCCTAAGTTTTGGGCTTAGGGCTTGGCATTAGATGGGCTCTACAAGGTTGTAGACTGCTGAAGAAAACTGAATCGTCAGAGTCCTTTCTCTGAAGCCCAGAATCCCGAGCGGTGCATTCTTGCATTGGGAATTAGTCAAGAGGCAACCTCTGGGTGCAGAAGATGGGATGTTGTATGGTTTTGAGCTTAGGGTTTAGGGATCAGGGATTTGGGGTTTTCAATTGTGTTTTCAAACCCCCTCTTACACACGGTTCATGTGGCCATATAGTGACTACCTTCAGACCCAAGTGTCTGCTTTATGACTACATGGACCCTCGGATGGTGCCGGGGACCCGGCGGGAAGCGCTCCGACCGGTAGTGGAATCAAGCCCCTGCAGGGCTCCAAGGCAGAGTGTGCACTAGATGAGTCTGAAAAACCAGAAAATTCTAGGGGCCTTAATGATTAGAATAGGATTTGGGGGTTACAAGCAGGAACACCCAAAACTTTATTCTAACTATTAAGGCCCCTACATTGATAGAGTTTGGGCATGCCACAATACAAAATGAAATGACTGCAAGTAGACCCTAAACCCTAAACCCTAAACCCTAAACCCTAAACCCGCTGATTGCTCAGACCTGAGGTTGCCAAGTGAATGCGAGTAGTTTAATGCCCAAAACCCTGGATCCTCAACCCGTTTTTAAATGAAAGGCACTAAACCCTAAACCCCTAAACCTATGGGCTTAGGACTTAGATCGGGTTTATGAGTGGGGTTTAGGGACGCGACCTCTTTGTTTCAACCACAAAAAGTTCTATAAAACCTTTGAGACCAGAGACCGAGAGCCTACCAACTTGTAGAACCCTTATAAACACCTCTACCTTGCCAGTTATGAGCAGTGTTGGGTGCTATTTGCAAAACTCAAGCACTCTTGTAGTATTACGGAAACACCACCAAATGAAGGGTCTTACGTCTGAGCCCTCCTCCCGACTCTAAAATAGGGGGCCTTAATCATTAGAATAGGGTTTGGGGGAATGTTTTACGATAATTATAATAAGGAACCCCCAAAACCCTATTCCAATTAGTAAGGCCCCTACATTACATTACACGATCCTCACCAAAAAGCTGCCTCACAAGAAGGAGCTACGTTCGAGACTTGAGGTGGGCACGAAGCCCGGAACCCTCAGATCCTAAACCTTGTAAGCCAGCTTGAACGAAACATAGTATACAATTTGTCTAGTATAGTATCACAGTAGATATACAGTGTAGTACAATAGAAGATCATCCTGTTTTTACCGCCAAAAACGGCGCCGTGCCTTTGCTCCAGAAGTGGGCGGGTCTCATGCTGCGTCTCCTTGGCAATCGCGGCCCTTTGCAAGGTTCAGGGCTTTTTAGGGTTTAGGGTTTAGGGTTTAGGGCTTAGGCTTAGGGGTTTAGGGTTTAGGGTTCAGGGGCTGAGGCCTTAGGGTCAATAGACCTGAGCCTTTAAAGAATGTTTGTAGACTTATAGAAGCTTTGACTTGGTTTAGGGTTTAGGGTTTTTAGTTTGTAGACTTATAGAAGCTTTGACTTGGTTTAGGGTTTAGGGTTTTTAGTTTGTAGACTTATAGAAGCCTTGACTTGGTTTAGGGTTTAGGGTTTAGGTTTTAGGGTAGAGCACCTAACGCCCTTCACTCGCATAAACAGACGGCTCCGTGCGGAATCCTAGATAGGGGATCCCGACCAAGAACGGCTATACTGCAGATCCTCAAGCGCACTCTGAGGGCCCCAATGCAGAATAGTGGTGGGGTACAGTGTATCATGGTTGCTTGTATATAGGAACTAGTAGGGAATGCTATGACTAAGTATCCGGATTCCGACCATTATGTTATATATACCCGAAACCCCAAAACCATTAGGGCCGGAGACTACTTCTACTCCGATTCACTCCGAGATAGTAAGCACCGACATCCCGCAGCCTTGAAAAGGGCTAGGGTGCCGCAGTATTTGGGGGACCTGAACAGGGACCCTAATTTTGCTAGCTTGTGTATAGGGGTAGATATCTAAATTAGGATCCCTTTTCAGGTCCCCCAAATACTACAGCACCCTAATTTAGAACTACCCATAGGATTGCAGAGAGTGTCGATTAGAGACACGGTGAGAAGAGCATGGGCCGCTTTTTGGAACTCGGGGCTTATCGTTGTAGGAATCAGTGTTCAGGGGTTCTGGGTTTAGGGCTCATGGGGTTTAGGGTTTAAGGTTTCTTTTGTTGAACTCCTTTTTGCGACTGCACTGTCGTCTGAAGTTACAGCCTGCCTTAGGGGTTGGGGTCTACCTGGGGATCCAAACCCCTACCGTTTTATGGGTTCCACCCTCTAATCAAGGGGTCATCACCTACTATTTCGTAGGGTTTGGGGTCACAGGTAGGGCCCTAAACCCTAAACCCTAAACCCTAAACCCGGTTTGTGGGTTTGGGTTCTGAAGGCTGCTGGGGCAAGTGGGCAGTGGCTTGAGGTTTAGGGTTTAGGGTTTAGGGTTTACGGTCTGGGCACGTTCAGAGCTGGGCCTGCGCCCAAGTTAAGCCCCAGTCTTTATTTCGATAAGCCGTACGGCTTAGGTTTTAGGGTTCAGGGTTTTAGGCTTTAGGCATTTCGGGTTCCGGGTGTTATGCTATTCAGAAGAATCCGAGTGAAGAGTCCAGGAATGCTCATAAGTCCAGCGATTTGATGGTTTCTATGTACCTGGACCAGAGAACCCATTATGCCACCGTTCAAAGATTTAGGGGTTAGGGTTAAGGGTTTAGGGCAAAGCCTATCCATAGGGCTTTGATCGTGATGTCTGGACTTTTTTCTTCAATTCAGGTGCAAAGCCAGACCAGATTGAATCAGACCTCACAGCACTCTATAGTTCGGAAATACACTCGTGCCAGAGAATAGGCGTTACCACCACAATGATTTGATCCTTTTGTGGAGAGCTCCTAAATCAAGCAAACCCATTTTCTGAAGCCCCCACGAAGCCCTGAATCCTTGCATCTTGGACCCTTTCTAGAGAACTCGAAAGAGTCACCCAACGAGCACTAAAAGGAATCGTTAAATGAACCCTGATGCCCTGTACGGCTCAGAGGAGGTGCTGCTTGGCAGAGGACCAGTACAGGCAGAGGCTGGCGACTTTGTCCATCTTTGCCTGACCCGGTTCAGCATTATGTGGGGTTTCAGGGTTCCTTCCAGCTCCAGTAAAACGTTGCATAAGACGAGAGCGGCAAGGCTGCTTAGTGCAGCACACCCCCTTGCCTCAAAGCAAATCTCTGGGATCACTGTAAGTCAAGAGATGTCAAGAGTCTATAGGGTATTGTCTGCAGGTATTCCCTAAACCCTGAACCCCAAACCCTGAACACTAAACTCTAAACTCTAAACCCTAAACCCTGAACCCTAAACCGGCATCATGATTTGGGAACTTCTGCCGGTTCGTCCTTCAGGCCAGGCTTCGGCCCGCCACATCATGAACCCCCAGCCCCGGAATACCTAGATTCCTCAAACTCTAAACCCTAAACCCTAAATACCCACTATGCCTTCGACGCCATGGAACCGCCGGAGGCTCCACGTCATGACGTCCAGAGCTCGAAGCCAGTCATTGAACCTGCAAGCAGGGTGTAGGGTTCCTTTAAGGGGATTTATAAGGAATCTACAGGGTTTCTAGAAAGGATCAGTAGGGTTTAGGGTTTAGGGTTTAAGGGTTTGAGGGTTTAGGGAGGGTGTAGGTTTTAGGGTGTATGGTTCAGGATGGAAGGACAAGATCTTGGCTTTGGCAGGGCTTAGGTTGGCAGTTCATCTTCGTAGGCTTTGGGTAAGGGTTTAGGCTTTAAGGGTAGAGTCTAGGGTTTGGTGTTCAGGGTTTAGGGTTTTGGGTTAGGGCAGAGCCGGGCAGGGTTGGGGGTCCTGAGGTGAAGGTCTCCATCGAAGTACTGAACTGATTTGCTTATAGTTCGGATTTAGGCCTTCGGTCAGGATCCAGGATATCACCCTGAACTGCAATTCAACCCCAAACCGCGAACCTAAAAGCCCTAAACCCTACCAGGATACCCAAGTTCTTGGATCAGCCCTCATCTCAATCTCCATGACGGGCAAACGTAAGGGTCCTTGATCGGAGTCAACTCCGGCTTTCCTATGGTGGAATCGCCAAAGCTAAAACCCTACGTTACACGCATAGTAAGGACTTTAGCTGGCTTTGACCTACTGGCTTTCGGTTGTTCAACCCTGCAAAACCACATAGAGTTGAGCACTCACTATGGAACAACAACAGAACCGGCATAGAAACCTAACGAAATCCTTGCAGAAGCCCAATAAAAGCTTCACTGTTGAAAAACACGGAAAGTATCCTCCATAACAGTACCTAGGAGCCCTTGCAGATGAAAGCAGGCGAGGGCTGACCTGGCAGAACCAGAACCCTCGTCGACCAGCAACGTCGCGAAGGCCAGAGAGCCATCCTCGGTCAAGAAGTTTGGGGTTAGACCTCGCTTGAAAGTGATCTATGTGGTTTAAAGTTCGTCCATGAGGGATCTGTAGGGTCTCGGGTCTTAGGGTTTAGGGGGTGCAAGGAACTTCATAGCTCCTGCAGTTTCGGTACAACATTTTAGAGCGCTATTAAACTTCTGCAGGCTTTCTTAATTAATGGAGATTTAAGTCCCTCTGTTTGAAGGGCTAAAAAGATTGTCTAGGGCTCCATCCGAGATTCAGTTGGGTCTCGGGCGAAATTGGGACCGGGCACTAACCGCCATGTAGACCCCGTTTTCCACAAACCATACGGACGATAGTAGGAATCCTCAAATAAGGCTTAAAGAACCATAGGGACCATAGTAGGAATCACCTTATAAGCCCTACCAGCAAGTTCGATGGCATACTTT